CGCCCCGTCGCTGCTTTGTCGCCGCCCGTCGTCTGGGCCGGTGTGGCGGTCTAGCGGCTATGTTGTCCTCGTCGCCGCCCCGTCGCCGCCTCGTCGCCGCCGGTCGTCTAGACTGGTGTGGTGGGCTAGCGGCTATGTTGTCCACATCGCCGCCTGTTCGCCGCCCACATAGACTGTGCACCACATATTGCACAACATACACTGCGCACTACGTAGGTTGCGCCACATAGTTGCACAACAGAGACTGCACCACGTATAGTATGCCACATAGAATCTTGAAAAGAACAGACTCGACCCCCCCTGGATTAGCACCTCCTATTTTCGTGTTGCAATTTACATGTGATCCTGCCCCATCGTCCATTCTGAATTTGAATTCGTACCATCCCAGGGGAACCGGTATCGCCCCCCCGCCATCCTCTACAAAAATATAATTCACGCGCGCTCGTTGAGAACACATCATAAGTTGTCAAAAGTCCCTTGCAACAGAAAAACGAAACGATGTAATCCTTTCAAAACCTTTGGTCGCGCAAGGATTTCAGAATCGAGTATTGAAAACACATATGAAAACATGTGGTTTCGCAATACGGGTTTTCACAAAAAGCTTGCGCGCGCGCATTTACGAATTCTTGAAAAAAACCATAGTTTGTCAACATTTCACAAACTGCTACCTAACGGGCTTCGCGCGCCCGCGCGCATGTCGGAATCGTTCGCGCGCTCCTGCGCGCGTGTTGGGGTGGCACGATCCGTGTGCAATAATACCATGCGGGCGACTCTCGCGCGTCTGCCGCGCGCGCATGTCGAATTCTTTCCACAACCTTCGTCACCGACGCGAAAAAGATTGATCGTCGTCGGCTTGATCAGCATCGGCGCCGTCGCTGGCTGCCCCGTCGTCGGTGTCAGGTTCGTCACCAGCATCGCTACTAGCATCATCGAGTCTACCGTTGTCGACGTTGCTATGATACCGCTCCCGCCCAAGTCGCCGACTCGCACAGAAATGCCCGCCTGGATGTACAGAGCAGTCAGTGCCACCGCGTTTGCGTCGGTCGCGCCAAGTTAGCTGGCCGTTGCGCGCGCCAGCATGCGCGGGGTAGCGCGGCCGCAAAGATGCACCAGCCACCACCAAACACTCATCGCAATCGCTCCCGCATGGGTTTTGCACACCAAGTTGCGGGTGGGTGGGTGGGATGATTGCGTGAGCAGTGGAGTCGCCAAGGCACACCATGGACTACACATCGCATATTGCACAACGCTCATTGCGCAACGAATATTGCAGCACATCTGTCCTTCCACATTCGATTGCAACACATACGTTACACTACATGTGGTGCGCAACATAGACTTGCACCACACACAATGCACAGCACACGCACACATCTAAAACTCGATATATCATGCGCAACCTTGTTTGCACCACGTGTGTTGCACCACGGCGATGGCACCACATATATTGCACCACATGTTGTGCCCCACGTCACATATATTCCCCTTCTAGAAGAGAATGCAGATCCACCATCTTGTCGATGTCAGACTTAACCCCTCACCCTGGGGATGTGTAACTTTTTGTGATTTTGCCTAGCTTCTCGCGCCGCCTGCCGAAATCATTCGAGCGCCCTTACGCGCGTGTTTCGGGGGGGGAAGGGCGGGGCACGATCAGTGTCAAATGGTACCGTGCAGGTCACTCTCGTGCGCGGGCCACGCGCGCATGTCGAACTCCTTCCAAAACCTTCACCACCGACGCGGGGACGCCGTCATCGTCGTCGGCGCGATCCGCATCGGCGACGTCACTGGGCTTGCCGTCGTCGTTGGCATCGTCGTCACCCTCATCGCTACTACCATCATCGTGTCTGCCGTCGTTGACCTTGCCATGATATCGGGCCCGCCCAAGTCGCCGACTCGTGCGGAAATGTCCGCTAGGCAGTGCTTAGCGGTCAGCGCCACCGCGGTCGCGTCGGTCGAGCCAGACTAGCTGGCCGTTTCGTGCGCGAGCAATTGCGCTAGTTCGGCCGCGGCGATGCGCCAGCCAGCGCCGAGCAGTCATCGCAATCACCGTGGCATGGGTTTCTTAAGCCAAATTGCGGGTGAGTGGATGAGAGGACTGCCCTATAGCGGAGTTGACAATTTCAAGTTCGACAGGGTGAATTCTCCTTTCTAAGAGACTAATAGATTCCACCCCCCCCGGACTTATCGGGTCCCCCGCGCGTGCTGCAAATTACATATGATTCTGACCACATGTCCATCCTAAATATGAACTCGTACCATCCCAGCCAAGCCGGGTTCTCCCCCCTGCGGCTCCCTTGTGAAAAACACTATGCGGTGAAATGTTTTGTTCTAACATAGCAGCACTTTTTTTTTCTCACGAATTCCTTGCAACAAATGGGACGAAGTGCGCACGCGCGCGTCGTGGCGCGCGCATGCCGGATTCCTTCAAAAACCTTCGGTTCCGGAGAGATTTCAAAATTGAATTTCCAAAAAACATATAAAAACACATGGTTTCGCAACACTGATCCACAAAAAAACTTACGCGCGAGCTCTTGCGAAATCTTAATAAAACCATAGGTTTTCCAACATTTTCACAAAATGCTACCAAACGGGCTTCGCGCGCGCGCATGTCGAAATCTGTCGAACGCTCTTGCGCGTGTGCCGTCGCGAGAATCCTCTGCAAAAAATGGGACGAAGTGCAGACGCGCGCGTCGTCGCGGGCGTATGCCGAAATCCTTCAAAAACCTTCGGTTTCGGAAGAGTTTCGAAATCGTGCGTCCAAAAAACATACAAAAACACAAGGTTTCGCAACACGGGTTTTCAACAAAATTGTGCGCGCGCGCTCTTGCGTCGTCGTCGTCGTCGTCCTCCCTCCTCCGTCGTCGTCGTCGTCGTCGTCGCCGTCGTCGTCTTCTGTCTTTCCTCGTCGTCTTTGGCGTCGTCGTCGTTTCCGTCGTCGTTGTCGCCGTGGTCGTTCTTCCTCCCTCGTTGTCTTCGTCGGCGTCTCGTCGTTGTCCCTCCTATTTCGTCGCCGTCGTCGTCGTCGTCGTCGTCGTCGTGGTCTTCACTCCTCCCTCGTCGTTATCCTCCTCCCTCGTCGTCGTCGTCCGTCGTCGGCGTCTCGTCGTCGTCCTCCTATTTCGTCGCCGTCGTCGTCGTCTTCGTCGTCGTTGTCATCGTCGTCGTCTTCCCTCCTCCCTCGTCGTTGTCGTCGTCGGCGTCGCCGTCCTTCCTCCTTCTTCGTCGTTGGCGTCGTCGCCGTCTTCCCTCCTCCATCGTCGTTGTCGTCGTTGTCGCCGTCGTCGTTTTTTCTCCTCCCTCGTCGTCGTCTCCGTTGGCGACGTCGTCGTCGTCTTCGTCGTCGTCGTCGGCGTCGTTATCGTCGTCGTCGGTGTCTTCGTCGTCGTTGTCGTCGTCGAAAACATTGGAGACGTCGTCGGTGTCGTCGCAGTCGCTGTCGGCGGCGCCGTCGTCGTCGATGTCGCTGTCGTCGTCGGCATCGGTGTCGTGGCTAAGTGCCACGCAGTACCTACCGTCACGGTCTTGTCTGAAGATGTCTTGCGACCAAGTTGCGGGTGGGAGGGTGGGATGTTTGCACGAGCAGTGGAGAGGACAGCTTCAAGACAGTCGAAGTGGATTGCACCACGTAGGTGGCACCACACATAGTGTTCCACGTACATACTCTTTGTTAAAAACAGAATAGGATCTACCCCCCCGGCGTTATCGCTACCCCTTTCCGGGTCTGTAAATCATAGATGATTCTGACCACATGTCCATTCTAAATATGAAGTCGCAATGTCAAATGCCAACCGGTATCCCCCCCCCTGAGGGTCCCTTCTGTGAATTATCCCAGTGCGACCCTACCTAGGAGTTAGAGCATTTAGGAAAACAATATCTAAGCTTGGCTATGCTATGCTGTGCTGTGCTAGTGCTGCGCTGCGCTATGCTGCGCTAAGCTAAGTTAAGGTAAGCTAAGTTATGCTAAGCTAAGCTAAGCTAGGCTAGGCTAGGTTAGGTTAGGCTAGGCTAAGCTAATTTAAGCTAAGCTAAGCTAAACCAAACCAAGCCAAGCCAAGCCAAGACAAGCTAAGCTAAGCTAAGCTAAGATGATATAAGCTAAGATGATAGGCTGAGCTAAGCTAAGCTAAGCCAGGCTAGGCAAAGCTAAGCTAAGCTAGGCTAAGCTAAGCTAGGCTTAGCTGAGATAAGCTAAGCTAAGCTAAGCTAGGCTAAGCTAAGCTAAGCTTAGCTAAGCTAAGCTGGGTGAGCCCAGGGGACGTCACTGGGGAACCGCGGGGCGGATGCCGGGGGAACCGCCCGGGGCGTGCCCCACTGCCCGGCCCTTTAGGCCTCAGAGTAAGAACCCTTCTAGGCAGAGCCTGGGTAGGGCAAAACATTATGCGGTGACATCTTTGTTCTAACATAACACTTTTTCGCGAATCCCTGGCAAAACATATGACGAAATGCACACGCGCGCGTCGTCGCGCGCATGCCTAATTTTCAAAAACCTTCGGTGCCGGAAGGATTTCGCAATCGAGTTTCCCAAAAACATACAAAACACAGGGCTTCGTAACACTGATTTGCTAAGAAAGCTTCCGCGCGAGCTCTTGCGAAATCTTAAGAAAACCATAGGTTTTCCAACATTTTCACAAAATGCACTCAAACGGGCTACGCGCGCGCGCATGCCGAAATCTGTGGAACGCCCTTGCGCGTGCGCCGTCGCGAGAGTCCTCTGCAAAAAACAGGACGAAGTGCAGACGCGCGCGTCGTCGCGCGCGTATGCCGAAAACCTTCAAAGCCCGTCGGTTTCGGAAGGATTTCAAAATCGTGTGTCCAAGAGGCCTACAAAAACACAAGGTTTCGCAACACAGATTTGCTAAAAAAGCGTGCGCGCGCGCGCTCTTGCGTCTTCGTCGTCGTCGTCGTCGTTGTCGCCGTCCTCCCTCCTCCCGCGTCGTCGTCGTCGTCGTCGTCGCCTACGTCGTCCTTTGTCTTTCCTCGTGTTCGTCGTCGTCGTCCTC